GGATCATGGGGGGGGGGGTGACCAATATAATATACTATAGGCGTTATATAGGGAAAAAGAGGGATCATAATCCCATATTCGTAAGATTGTCTGTAGTAGTAGGTGCAAGCAGACTCTGCAGATAGCTACTAATGTCGTTTTGAACCGGAAGGTCCGTGATGCTGCCCGGGGCTTTTTTTGGGGGGGAAGGCTGGTCCAGTTGGCTAGGCTGGCGTACCTCAGAGCTTTCGTTTCCACGGGTGGCTCTCAAGCCTGGACCACCTCTTGAGTAATGACCCCAGATTGGTTTTATTCTCCGTGTCAGCTGAGGGCAGGGTAATCTTTGCCACTGCTGTACCCACAAGTTTCCCGGACGGCTAGTTAGAAAGCTGGAGTAGGGTCCTCAGGGCTCATGTGATGTCGAGGTGGGGTGGCGCGCTGCTGATCTCTGCTGGAGAAGTTGCACCATGACCCTGTTAGTGCGTGTTTTGGTAACTGGTGTGGGCAACAGGCTGTCAGGTGAACCTAGAAGTTAACTGGGAGTAAGCTCACGCTGTACAGGCCAGGTACCGTTGTACTCCCCACATACAGCACCAACAGCAACAAAAACGTTGTTCGCCGGCAGTGGCTCGGCTCATTGCCGTAGAGGGCGGCATAGCGAGGAAGACGCCCCATGCCTGACAGCTGGGGAGAGCTTGCCTTCTCTGCGGCTGCCGAGAGTTAATGTACCAGGAGCGGTGGTTGCCTTTACCGTGCGATGGCATCAACACTGCAGAGACGGTGCCATCAGACCCCACATTGGACAGAGAGAAGACTTTCAAAGTGGGAGTAAATATGTTTCGGCTAAATTTCGAAGAAAGCATCCACCAGTATCGGTATGACATCCCGGATCCAAAGACCTCGCCTGAAGACGAGCGACTGCTGCTTGAGAAGGGATGGGCTGAGTTGAAGGGGAACTTGCCAAATTTTGTGATTTTGTTCCCTGGCCGCATCTTTTCTCCAACTCGGGTGCATGACTTCAAGATCTCAGTCAATGATGATCATGCTGGGAAGAACGTGGACATGCAGGTACGTTATGTAGCCACAATCACTGCGGACCAGATAAATGCAGGCAGCATGGGTTCGTCTTCTGTGGTTTTGCAACATATAGCGAACCAGCTGGCCGCACCAGTCCGGATTCAGCGTGTTGGCAAGCGCTTCTACAAGAGCGACTGCCAGGTTAAGGGACACCACGATGTCATCAGTGGCTTCTGTGTAATCCCCACGCTGTGTCGCGCTGGACCTTTGCTCCAGGTTGACGTCATGCACAAGCCGGCTAGTTCCAAGAGCGTCGTAGAGGTGCTGAAGGCGTCCATGGAAGGCACAGACATCTTCCAGCAGATGAAGGAGATAAAGGCTGAGTGGCTTCGTTTTTGCGTGTCCTCCACTGTGGTGACGTCGTATAATTTCCGTGTCTACCGGATCAAGCAAGTGCGCTTCGACATGACTCCTCTGACTACATTCAAGATGTATCAGAAGGACAACAAGGAGTTCGCGGAGATTACCTTTGTACAATACCTTCAAATGTTCTACGACAAATCTGTGGCCTTCAAACAGCAGCCCCTTTTAGAGGCATATCCGGAGAAGGCCAGCGAACAGGTGTTTTTACTACCAGAATTTTGCTGCCCGACTGGTGTTACGGATGACATGCGCAGGGAGAAAAACCCTCTCAGTGAGGTTTTGAAGCAGATCAAGGCCTCCGCTCAGGAGAGGTACAACGCGGTAAAAAACCACGCCTTGGAAATGCAAAGCCAAGACAAAGCCGAGGAAGCGCTGAAGGCTTGGGGTTGTACCTTGGAGCAGTCGCCCTTGGAGGTTCAAGCTCGGCAGCTGGAGCCTTTGCAGGTCGCATACACGGAGAAGAAGATCTTTCCCATTGACGAAGGAAGCTTTGCCCGCTCCCTCCGGAACGGGCTCCAATGCCCTGCAAATCTTGATAACTGGCTGCTCTTCTATCCTCCAACAGATGAGCCGGTGTTGGACATCTGGGTGCGGTCACTCAAGGAGGTGGCGAAGGACACTTGCCTGGAACATCCATGGGACGCTTAGAATGTACACTGCCGCCTAGGGCTTAGGGTTTAGGGTTTAGGGTTTAGGGTTTATGATCAAACCATAAAAAACCACCATAGCCGCAGGCATGAAGCACCACACGCGAGAACAACCCCATCCTCAGTAAACCTGCTTGTTTGATCAGGTTGCCTTTGGGATGAGAGTCGCAGAGCCCGAAAAGGCTGGGTCCCTGCAACCAAGAGCTGTAGCGTTGATAGCTCATGCTACAATATGAGCTAGAGTGTAAACTCCATAAAGGCGGGTTATATATGGGGGTACATAGGGGAGTAGTGTAGGGGTTATAAAGGGGGGATACTAGGAGTTTAGACTATGGCTCATATCAGGTTTGATGGCTACTGCTACCAATAATGCTTGTAATGCTTACATGCGATGTGCACATGCCCGGGCTTGGCATTTTCACCTTATGGTCTGGAGCAGCTAATTGTTCCCCATGAACCGATCAGGGCTGCCGCCTTCTAGGGTTGAAAGTTTCAAGCCTTCGTGCAAGGTTTGTTGCCCAGCAGACGCCGATCTAGGAGGCATCATTGAGAAGCACATGGATCCTAACCGACAGCTACCTGGCTAAAGTGGACGTTGTCTGAGATCCAGTCCAATTTTGAGCTTGCCATTCTTAGCATCGAGTCTCAGCGATGCTTGCTCTTGCCTATGTGGAATTTCGCAGAGTCTTGCAGAGTCTTACTTTACCTGTGTTTGACGACAACAACGATGTGCAGTGTTGTTGTGGAATGTGTGGTCACAAAGCTGCAGTGCCTAGCAATAGACTCGAGGTTGATGATGCTGCTCATCCCGAACAAGGACGTGCGGAAGCAGTACCACATCTTTAAGGACCTGGCTTGCGATCGGTATGCCTGCATTTCGCAGGTCGTCCGCAGTGATACCATACGCAAGCGCCAGTCAGTTGGCTCCATCCTCCACAAGGTTGTGCATCAGATCAACGCGAAGTTCTGCGGACCTTTGTGGCACATCGTCCCTAAGGAGCCTGAGGACACCTTGCTGCAAGACTTCAAAGCCAAACCCTTCATGGTTTTTGGCATAGATGTCTTCCTAACCTTTGATGGAGCCCGCTGGCTGGGAATCTCTGGGACTTTGGACAAAGTTTTCTCTCAATATTATTCCATGGCAGCAAAGCTGGAGAGCGGATCTCTGGAGGTTTGGAGGGCCAGCTTGTCCTTGGAGCTTCAGGGCCTCTTCCGCGACGCATTTCAGGCCTTTGTTGACTGCAACGATGGAATCCTGCCGCAGACAATTGTTGTGTACTGCGCATCAGTGAACGAGGAGGACTGGCCTTTGGTAGAAGCAGTGGAGGTGAAAGCTCTGCAGAAAGTCTTGGAACTGGCTGCAAAATGTTCTGAAAGCTACTCACCTACAATAACGTTTATTGCCATTGCCAGGAAGGCTCATATGCGGATCTTCAATCCTCAACCTGACTGGGAGAACATCAAGAATCCTGAGCCAGGTACTGTTGTTGATGATCCTGCAATCTGCGGAGGTTTGGTGCCAAGTTTCTACTTGATCAGCCAGGCCATCGTGAAAGGCAGTGCGATCCCAGCACATTTCTCGGTGCTGGTCAACTCAGCGAAGCTCCCGCTGCAGCTCATTGAGAACCTCACAAACAGGCTGTGCCTCATGTACTATAATGTTCCGCATGCTGTCCGTGTCCCTGCACCAGTTCTGTATGCTACGAAGATCGCATTCTTTTGTGGCACGGTAATCAAGAAGCCGCCAAAGCCTCGGCTAGAGCGGACCCTGTTCTTTTTGTGAGAGGGCAGTGACCACCTTTTTGTAGCGGGTGCGAGACCATGTGAGCTATAGTCTAAACTCCTTCAAGGAGGTTCTATAAGGGATTGTATAGGGGAGTACTATAAAGAGGCATACTAGGAGTTTAGACTATAGCTCATGTGTTGGCACTATGAGAAGGCGGCCTGGGCAAAATTTCGTATCCACTAGTATGACCTTCCGCCCATGCAGAGATAGACAAAAACACATTACCCACACATTCGCAAGCAGCCCATCCATGCTACGCAAGACTTCAAGAGGTACTTGCCAAAACTCCGGTACCACTGAACACTTTGAGATTTGCATTGCCCGGCGTCCCAGGAACAGGTTGATCTGACCCAGTATGTGCCCAAGGGCATTGCCAGATCATTTTCGCACACTCAAGATCAAACGCCTCTTGCATGCATTGGTTCTCACAGAGCTCAAAACTGTTTTGACCAGCTTGCTGGTGTCCTGGATTCTATCTTCACAGGCCTCTGAATTTGCCCAGCACATCAGGCTCTACATTGTGTACTACTGCTTCTGTGCGCTTTGGATGTGGGAGTTGCTGGGCCGCAGTGGACACCACGGTTGCAAAGCCTGACTTTGAGGCACAGTGTGAGTGAAATGTTGACGCATCTGAATAAGGTTGTTACTTGCGTTGGAGACTTTCGTCGTGCGCTCAGACTCCTCCTGAAGCATCAGGAGTGGCCACCTGGGACATTGTGGGACTCCACTACCCTTTAGCCTGCCACTGCAGACGTACTGCAGTCGTCCTGCGCCGCGATGTCATTTTTGCAATACCCCAGGTGGCTGCCTACACAGTGACAATTTGGTACAATGCCCCGCTGTCAGACGGGAAGAAGCGTGTGCCTTGGACCCTTTGAAAATAGGACTCAGACTGTACGAAGGCAGGGCGTTGAGCGTAGGGGCCTAAATACTTACTTCTATTATCTAGGGATAGTGGAAAATAAAATCAAACTACTGTAGTAGATTGGGGTTATATTGGGATAATGGAAAATAAATGGAAACTACTATAGTAATATAAGTTTTTTTAAGTAGGGTACTAGAGGGATGGAGCAGGCGAGCTCGCCTTGCTGAAGGCTAACTGACGGCTAGGGCCAGGGCCTTTTCCCCACAGCGAAGGTGCCCTGCTTCCCTGTTGTCCGTGCCTTCTTCGTCGGCACCTTCGCTGAACTTAACCTTGCGGAGCAACCTTGTATTACTATAGTAGTTTCTATTTCATTTTCCATCATCCCTATATCACCCCAATATACTACAGTAGGTTGCATTTCTTCCATGACCCTATATCACCCCAATATACTATAGTAGGTTCCATTTTATTTTCCACTATCCCTATATACTAGAAGTATTTGTTTCCAGTTCCTGCATTTGCGTTTACCCAGGACTCACATACCACCTGGGAAGTCTGCTGTTTGGAGCTGTGCGGTCCTCAGAAAGTGTTGCTGTGCCATGCTGGACCCTAAACCCTAAACCCTACACCCCTAAACCCTATGACAGCAGCAAAGATCATCCTGGCGCTCTTCCGCGGTGCTTACATGATTCTCTCCTTCTTCCAGACACAGGCCTCTGGCTGTGCAGAGTGTTTAGCACAGATTTAGTGACGTTCAGCTTTGGATACCTCATCAAACCGACTGCCGAATTGCAATGTACTGGCCCAGCCGCAGGAAGCTTAGCATAGCTGGATCCTTAGCCTTAGCGCTCGTGTATTCGGATTGGACACGATGGCCCGCGCTCTTTTCCTATTGCTGTTGCCGTTTCTTGCTGTGGCAAACACCAACAGCCTTCGGGGCACCAAGTCTCAGATGGAATGCTCGGGCGAAGGGTTGCTTAGAGGGAACGTAAGCAGACATTCTTTGACTGTTGCCTTGTTTTGTCAGCCATGATATTTTAGGCTCTCTTCTGTGGCACGTTGGTAAGGACACTTCCGACCGTTGAGGCTGGGAGCTCTCCGCGTTGCTATGGGGGCGGGCTTTTGGTGGAGACTTTCTCCGTGAAGGTCACCAGCTTCGATGGTGCAACAGGCTTGGTGGATCTGAAGGCTGCTGGTTCCTTCACCACCGGCCAGTGCGACGGCGCAGCCTTCCAAAGTGAAGACAACCAGGTCACCATCGAAAATGCAGCTGACTGTGGTCTGGGTTTGGGTTCTGCGGAGTACACCATCCAGTACTGTCCAACGGAGGATCAAATCTTGGTCAACATCGTCAAGCCCTGGGTGGTGCAATTGGCCTTGACAAGTCAAGAGTGCCCAACTGCCGGCGGCGAGATTTGAGTTCTCCAGGAGCCGGTCATCTGTGGGGTTGACAGCATCATTCCATTCGCTGAGCGGCTCAGCGCAGCAGACTGGCAATGACCAGCATTGCACACCAATTCGAACTGAGCTCAATCAGCCAGTGGATGTGAGCCACAACCGTTAATCTCCAT